AAGAACAGGATACTGGCCCCAGAGAGCAAATGATCAAAGGAATGATTTCCATGAGCCTTTGCAGAAGGCTCTGTGACTGGGTTTTGGGAATTGAAATCCTTGATCTGGCTGACAGAGGATACTCAGGAGCCTGTAGTCGATGCAAACTCGGTGAGACTCGGGGAGGCTGAGGGAGTCGGAGGCACCACTAGGACCTCTGCCCATGACAAAAGTGCAGGGCAGGAATTCACCAGCCACACACTTCGGACCCAGAGTTCCTTCAACTTTACTTGCAGAATGGGCTTCACTGGCAGCTCAGCTGGTAAAGAACCCGCCTGCAATGTGGGAGACCTGAGTTCGATTCCTGGGTTGGGAAGATCCCCTGGAGAAAGGAAAGGCTACCCACTCCAGTATTCTGGCCTGGAGAATCCCATGGACTCTATAGTCCATGGGGTCGCAAAGAGTCGGACACAACTGAGCAACTTTCACTCACTCACAGAACACCCAATTCAAAGACAAAGTTCTTGAGGATGTCCAGACAGTAACTGCGGAGCATTAAAACTCAACCCTCCGAGTACATACCTGTGCATCTGTCCTGAGCACACCTGTCTGTGATTTCAGCTGTGCCTCTTCCTTCCCCTCCTTAAAATCCTTCGGGGGCTCCCATCATTTCTTTAGGGGAAAAAAAAAGAAAAACACCCAAATGCTTTCGCCTAGCTTTTACCCACAGGCCTTCAGACACACCATTCTCACTGAATAGAGCACATTCACCCCCTCCTCGTGTCCCTTGGCTTAACTAGCCTCATCGGTGGGGTCTTGATTGACCTTTCTGCCAAAAACTTTCCATGACTCACTTGGTTTTTATTTGTTTTTGTTTTTAATTATGTTTTTGGCTGTGTCATATGCCATGTGGGATGCTAGTTCCCCAACCAGGGATTGAACCCATGCCCCCTGTATTGGAAGCATGGAGTCTTAGTCCCTGAATGACAGGGAAGTCCTTCATGAGGCTCTTGTTTGAGCACCTTATTTATCTGACCCCATGACACCAAGATCAAACAGAGAAGGAATCTCACACAGAAAGGTCAGGCACATGACCCCACCCAGAATGAGGGCTGCAGTGAGCACACAGCCTGGGAGCTGGATCATTAGCCATCCCCCCTAATGGGTGGCCTGGACTTTGTGGGGCCCGGGTAACCTGTCCCTCTCCTGAGGCTGCACTGATCACAAGGGGTGAGATTGCCTGTGGGCCCACATTTCTGCTACTCGCTGCCTGTGTGCCCACTGTGGTGGCTGGGATTTACCCTCATCGCCTAACACGATGCTTGCTACATGCTAAGTGCTCGGGAAATATTTACTGACTATATCAATGAATGAACGGGTTGACATCAATCAGTGAATGGACAGAGTTTCATGCTTTATTCACAGCATTCTAAGACTGCAGAGCCTGCATCTTAATACCAGTGTTTCCCCTGATAATGCAACCAGTCTCCAAAGGAGAGGATCTTAACTGGAGGTCCGCCGGAATTCCAAGATATCCATGGATTAGGTTGGGTGGAAGGACTACGAAGTCACAAAATTGAATGCAAAATTGTATGGGTACGCGTAGTTTGGGGAGGGACATGATTAATAGTTTTCATCAGAAACTCAAGAGGTGTCCCAAATCCCCAGGGTTAACAAATCTTTGCCCTGAAACAACAGTCTGTGAAGGGAAAGCATCTTCAGCATTATTTGGAAACTTTATTACAAATGCACATTCTCAGGTCCCCCGCCACCCCCCCCCCCAAAGTTGCTAAGTTGGAAACTCTGGGCAAGGAGCCCAACGTGTATGTTGGGAAGGTTTCTTGGACATTCAGTGCACATTCAAGGTCAAGAACCACTCAATAACTAGACATAGTATGGTGTATTTCCATATCCATAGAGGCAAAAAATAAAAATCAGGGAGAGCCGAGATATAAACTCTCACATTTATAGTCAAATGATTTTGGACAAGGTGTCAAGACCATTTCATGGTGAAAGGACAGTCTTTTCAACAAATGGTGCTGGGAGAACTGGATGTCCATATACAAAAGAATGAAATTGAAGCCTTCTCTAACTCAATATACAAAGTTAACTCAGAGTGAAAAAACAATAACTCAAGATGAATTAAGGACCTAAAACTCTTAGAGGAAAACAGGTCAAAAGTTTCTCGGACTTTCCTGGTGGCAATCCCCCTGCCAACTCAGGGGACACAGGTTTGATCCCTAATCTGGGAAGACCCACATGCCTCAGGGCAACTAAGCCTGAGCGCCCCAACTACCAAGCCTGCACTTGGGAGCCTGGGAGCCAAAATTACTGAAGACCATGTACACTAAAGCCGGTGCTCCACAACAGGAGAAGCCACCACAATGAGAAGCCCGTCAATCACAACTAGAGAAATCCTGGTCGCATCAACAAAGACAAAGATGCAGTGCAGCTACAAATAATTTAAAAACAAAATCTACTAGACAATGGATTTTGGCAATGATTTCTTGGTGATGACACCAAAGACCCAGGTAACAAAAGTGTCAAAGTGACCCCTAGTGAGAACCCAGGACACCAAGACTGCTGTGAGCTTCCCTGGTTAATGACAAACTGTTGCACACACTGTGAGCAGGACTGGGACACCACAGGCTCTGCCCCTCTCCACGGAGCCTCGTGGTTTGGGCGTGTGGGCCTGATTTTCATGTTACCCCCAGGTCAGCTTGTCAACAACTACTATCCCATAAAATTAATTCCTTTTCAATATATGACTACTCATCAAAGGCATCTGCTTTACTCTAAGAGGTTTTTATACGGTCTCAAATTAATAAGTCTTTTTTTTTTTTTTTGATTGCTTCACCCTCAAGATGCAAGAGAACTGGAGAAAGGTCAAGAGGCCACTCGTTACAGAGTGCAAGATAAGAAGCAGGATATGCAAACTGAGAGTCCCATGGAGCCCGGAAAATAAAGGGACAGACCCTCTGTGATCAGACAGAGTCATCAGCTGGGGCTGGAAAAACGGACTCACAAGTTGACATCGCTTTGATAATGGGAAGAACGCATTTGACCTAAGAGCAGGGGAGAAACGTCCCCAGGGGACTTTGAAGTCCTGTCTCTTTCCGGGGCTGAAACGAGCTGGAATTTCTCCAGCAACTCAAAGGGATGGGCAGACAGCAAGCGGATGGGAGATTAAAATGCGGAGGATGGAGCTGTTTGAAGTCCAGACTTCACATTCGATGATGCTGGGTAATCATTCAATTTCTTGGAGGCTAAATTTGCTTGTCTTGAACAGGAGGATGATAGAATCACCTCCTCCAATTGTTAGGATGAGGACATGAGGAGACACGGGAAGAGACAGGGGGTAAAATAAGAATGCCTTAAAAACTATTAATACTTCCCTTTCACCCCAGCATTGACTCATATGGATTCCAACTCGTTTTGTTATTTCCAGGGCTCTAGCAAATGTGTCTAGTGCGACACTCACTGAATTTTGCTAGGAAAAAAAAGTACCTCTCCTCGGCCTGAAGTTGTCCTCTCCTTGGAATCCTCTGGATCTAAAACATCAGAAATGTTTATGTGTCCGCTCCCCTCTCTGTGCCATCCTGGGACGTCCTGGGTCTTGTTTTCTCTCCCGCTTTCCCGTCAGCGGTTCGGATGTTCTCTCAATATTTGCGTTGGCACAGCTCCATCCCTGGGCCTGAGCTCCCTCCAAAGGTCCCATGGCCCAGATCCAAACAGCCTGCAAGCGGTGTCCCCTCACCTCACCCAACACTTCATGCTTGTTTTGCCGGCGAATATGCCCAGAATGCTGCCAAGTGCCAAAGCCTCTGCCGGGACTGGGGTTTTCAACTACATTAGAAACAGCGCAACCCTCGAGGAGCTCCTGTGCTGGGGAAGCCGTGTTATAGACGGACAGAGGTACATCCCAGTGTCCGGAAGATGCAGTTGGCCAGGCGCTGCCTGAGGACAGAGGAGGAGCCATCCAGACCCAAGGAAACACATGTGGCCCAAGCTGCGAGAGCCTGGCCACATCAGAGGGCCTGCCTGAGTGGGGGCTCCGTCGGGAATCCTTGTGGGGCGCTGTCCACTCTGCAGAGAGAAAGGGGAGCCCGAGTGGAAAGTACGGAGCCCGCTGCCAAGGCTCCAGCCTCGCCGATGCCCTGCACTCAGCTCAATGGATGTGGGAACCACAACGCGGACTCCTGGCACCGAAAGACCTCCCAGGCTCGCTTGGGAAAAGATAGGAAGCCTGTTGTCTGGGCTGATTCTCTGCAAGGATTCTCAGTTAAGAGAACATCAGTGTGGACTTCTCGGTGGCTGAGATGGTAAAGAATCCACCTGCCAGTGCAGGAGACTCGGGCTTAATCCCTGGGTCAGGAAGATCCCCTGGAGGAGGGCAAGGCAGCCCATTCCAGTATTCTTGCCTGGAGAATCCCTGTGGACAGAGGAGCTTGGTGGGCTACAGCCCATGGGGTCACAAAGAGTGACTAACACTTTCACTTCACTTCGGCACGGACTCAGCGTGGATTCCTAACCCTAACCTAACTCAATATATAAAATTAACTCAAAGTGAAAAAACAATAACTCTAGATGAATTAGGGACCTAAAACTCTTAGAGGAAAACAGGTCAAAACCCTAATCCTGGGCTCAGACTGTCCACCAGGCAAGCTGTAGGAATGGGACACTGAGACTCAGCAACATTGAAGAAACCAAGTCACGGGGGGAATTCCTAAAAGGATGAACGGAGTGGACATGCGAACAAACAGCTGTAACACAGGGGCAGCGTCGCTCAGAAACGGCCACGCACATGGCCACTTGGCAACGGGAGGTGGTGAGGAAGACACATCCTGGGGCAGACCTGGCGGGCTCAGCCCCAGCTCGCACGTGTCGTAGCAGGGAGGCCGGGGCCTCGGCGTCCTGCTCCGTCACCTGGGACTGCAGGACGATTTGTATAGACTTGATACATGGAAGGTGAAGTGCCTGGTACATATCAAAGATTCCATAAAGGGTCCCCTTGATGGTTTTTATTCCTGAGAGTGGAGCTCAGAGAGTCCTGCTGTCTCCTTGGTCTTCTCGTTCTGCATCGGGTTCCCAGACAAGTCCCGGGTCAGCCCTCCCATCTGTGCTCCTGGCCCATCCGGTCGTCTCATGTGCCTTCCTCCAGCTTCCCCTGCGAGGCCCAGCCTCCATGGCACTGGGCCTCCTCTGCTCACATCCTCACAGCCCACTGCTTGGGACCTGCCTCCACGTCCGCAGAGCTGGTCCTCCCCAGCCCAGCTGACGGGGCCTCTCCCGCTGCTGTTGTTTAGATTCTGCTTGCCACTGCGGTGTCCCGGCCCCAACTCCATCCTGACTCAGGCACAGGACTGAGGCTCCCAGTCAGTCAGTACCCAGCAGACAGCCTGGCCTCTGAAGGGCTCGCTCTGTGCTAAATTTCACTATGGAACCCTGCTCGTGTTAAATGTGTTCAGAAATGAATGGAAGTACTTTTTCCTTACACAGTTCCTTATACTAACCCACCAAGAGCAGGGTGAGTAAAGGTTTGTTGCTGTTATTGTTCAGTCGGTAAGTTGCGTTTGACTCTTTGCGACCCCATGGACTGCAGCACACCAGGCTTCCCTGTCCATCACCAACTCCCGGAGTTTACTCAAACTCATGTCCATTGAGTCTGCAATGCCATCCAACCATCTCATCCTCGGTTGTCCCCTTCTCCTCCTGCCTTCAATCTTTCCTAGCATCAGGGTCTTTTCCAATGAGTTAGCTCTTTGCATTAAGTGAAGTAAAGTGAAGTCACTCAGTCGTGTCCGACTCTTTGTGACCCCGTGGACTGCAGCCTACCATGCTCCTCCGTCCATGGGATTTTCCAGGCAAGAGTACTGGAGTGGGTTGCCATTTCCTTCTCCAAAGGATCTTTCCGACCCAGGGGTCGAACCCGGGTCTCCCGCGTTGTAGGCAGATGCTTTACCATCTGAGCCACAAGGGATAGATCCTTTGCATTAGGAGGCCCAAGTATTGGAGTTTCAGCTTGAGCATCAGTACTTCCAATGAATATTCAGGATAGATTTCCTTTAGGATTGACTGGTTTGATCTCCTTGCAGTCCAAGGGACTCTCAAGAGTCTTCTCCAGCACTCGGATTCAAAAGCATCAATTCTTTTGTGCTCAGCCTTCTTTATAATCCAATTCTCTCATCCATACATGACTACTGGAAAAACCATAGCCTGACTATACAGATATTTGTTGGGAAAGTGATGTCTTTGCTTTTGCTTTATAATAAAGGTTACCTGAGCCAGTTTCCCATGGACCGTATCCTCAAACAGCATGGGTTCAGCACCTGAGTGTTTGTGTCACCCTTGAAAGCAGGCCACCAAAACCACATCTTGTGGTCTCTCATTTTCTGGAATTTACAATATAAAACAGAACCTGATACCACATTCCAGGACAATCACAAGTCAAATCCCAACACTGTAAACTCTGAGAGATCATAAAATACATCATAACAAAGATTACTTCTAATATGACAGTCTGGTTGGCTAGGGTTTCAAAATCTCTTGGTTTGTCAAGATAGACACTCTTATAATTTCATTTTCCTTGTGGCATTACCAGCCAACCTTGTAAACACCGAGTACGCTGTTGGCAGGGAAGAGGGGTGGAATTGTTAGAAGTGCCATGGGGAGGAAAACATACTAGAGATTAAGGGAAAATGGACAGAGGAAATGAGGACAGAATAGGCAAAATGGGGCATCAGATGGGGTTTTGAGCCTGAGTTTCTTCTTCCTCTTAGTATTTATTTCCCCCAGTTTGGACAGACGCTAAAGATGAGAGAGTCTGCTGAGAAATACAGAAAGCAGGGCAGGCTGGCTGGGGAAACATTTGTGGACTATCCCTTAGGTGGTAATGACTTAGTTGTTAAGTCATGTCTGACTCTTTGTGACCCCGTGGACTGTAGCCTACCATGCTCCTCTGTCCATGGGATTTTCCAGGCAAGAGTACTGGAGTGGGTTGCCACTTCCTTCTCCAAGGGATCTTCCCAACCCAGGGATCGAACCCAAGTTTTTACCAACTGAGCCACCAGGGAAGCCCATATCAGGTCATTCTTATTCTAAAAACTTGCAAAAGCTAGGACCTGCTTGTATAAAGGATGAATAATGGAAAAGGGTTGTCTTTTCCTGCCAAATTTCTGCTAATCAAAATTTCAACTCATGATCGGCACACAGTAGTTTCTCAATAAAAGACTTTTGACTTCACTGGTGTTCTGTGTGCTGGCTGGTGGCTTCAGTTTGATTCCTGCCATGGGACATGGTGTTTTGTACTTTTGAGGGCAAGGTTAGTTTCACTTTCAAGATTGTTCTGAAATCTTCAGCTCCATTGGATCTGAACAACTTTGCTGTTTCTTTTAAAGAAAAAAAAATTTTTTTAATATTTATTTTTTAAAAAATTAATTTATTTGGCTGCGCTGGGTCTTAGTTGCAGCACAGAGGATCTTTCATCTTCACTGTGGCATGCAAGATCTTCAGTTGTGGCATACAAGACCGAGTTCCCTGACTAGAGACTGGACCCAGGCCCCTCGCATTGGGAACACGGAGTCTTAGCCGCTGGACTGCTAGGGAAGTGAAGTCCCTGAACAGCTTTGTGATGGAGGGACTCCATCAGGTCCCTGTGTCTCTCTTCCAGATGTCCAGCAATGTGTCTGCTAAAAGAGAAATTTGAGCAGACAAAGCATAGCTCATTTTACCTTAAAAAAAAAAAAAAAGGCCACTACGCCCCAGGGCACAAGTGACAGATGATAAAACAGCAAATACCAATGAAGTGTTGGAATTGGGTTTTCGTTGGGCCATGGATGGAAACACATTTACACCTAATAAACAGGGGCTGATGGGCTGGATTCTATAGGAAATGACAAGTAAGAGGAGGGGACGGATGGTGGAGGGTGAGTACTATGTGTTTTTAAATGACTCTTGTGATTGAGGAAAGATCGTTTAATGACAAGTCTGGCGTTCTGGAGCTCTGGTCCTGCTCTGCAGATGCACCCGAGCAAATCTGACAACAAGCCTAAAATAGCTGGCTGCAGTAGGCGTGTTAACAGCATAAGGAGGACAGGGAATTATGCAGGCATGCCGCCATGCTTGGCGCATATTAGACCTCAGCCTCATCACAGCACACGTTCTTAATAAAACATTCATGTTGAGCATTCGTGTTGCCTGTTTATGTAGCACTGACGACTCTTGCTCCACGCCTCCTGAAGGGAACCACGTTTAGCCTGAGATGCTGCCTCCGAGGTGAGATCTCATGCAGCTGAAAAGGCCACAGTCCCTCAGCACACAAGGTCCCACCTTGCCGATGCCACCAGGTTTTCTGCCCTGGAAAGTCCCCCGCTGAGCGCCCAGGGGTTCCCTGAGACGCCGGTGAGAGCTCGGGGAGCTGGGGACATCCGAATCCTACCAGTAAGCTTCTCTCCCGGGCCGGGGCTGCCGTTTCCTTGAGTTCCTCCTGCCTGGCACCTTCTAACTCATCTCTTTCCCCTCTTTTGTGACACTCTAGACACAGAGCAGAGCCAGAAAATACGAATACAAGGTTACAAAGGAAGCAGGCCAGGGAGAGGTCTGGGACTTTAGAGCTGGGCTGGGTGGGGGAGGTCAAGGTCATTTGGTCCAGAGGTCAGGGGGGACTCAAAACGGGGCAGCGGGAGGGCTGTCCACAGTGAGGGGATGAGAGAGGGGTTTATATCCTGGGAGGAGTTAGACTGGGCCAAGAAAAGGTTTACCTGTCTTGCCGGAGGTTTTGACGAAAGATGGGCAAAGGGTTTCAGCAATCATGCTACACAGGGAGGCTGTCTCACCTGGGTGAGGATGTTCATGTCTGTTGTATTTATTGGAGAAGCATTTTGCCAAAAATTAGCATTTGGAGATGGAAGGTGATGTCCTCTCCTATCCCGACACACACACACACACACACACACACACATACACACACATCCGGAACATCCCTCACCAGGAACCTCTCTCCATAGATCTGGCCACTATTGCACACTGGCCTTATGAAGACCCAAAGGAAGATGGCTTTATGGAAAACAGTAGATAAAATAGTTAAGAAAAAATTTTGAAATAAAATTCTACTGCATGTTATTTCATCATTATCCGTTCATTCCTTGGGATCTTTAAGAGTTATTATCTTAAATTTTAAATATCTTGGGTCAGTGGCAGAGGGTAGTCTATAAGCCTGTCAGTAAGTAAACAGAGCCTGTTGTTTTAGAGATTGTCCTGGGAATCTTTTTAAAAGATATTAATTAATTAATTTTTTCTGGTTGTGCTGGGTCTTTGTTGCTGCACCCGGGCTTTCTCTAGTTGCGGACAGTGGGGCTCCTCTTCGTTGCAGGATTCTCATCGCTGTGGCCTCTCTTGTGGAGCCCAGGCTCTGGGCCTGTGGGCTTCGGTACCTGCAGAGCAAGGGCTTAGTAGTTGTGGCTTAGTTGCCCTGTGGCATGTGGGGTCTTACTGCGGGAAGGATGGAACTTGTGTCTCCTGTATTTGCTGGAAGATTCTTAGCTACTTGGGCCACCAGCAAAGCCCTGTTCCGGGAGTCTTTAGTTATGAATTATTTTGACGCCTCAGATGCCCTGGCCCGGCCTGGCGTGGTCCAGGGAGCCAGGCCTCCTAGACTGGGACTTAAGTGTCACCAAGGTAAACATTCCCTTCTGGCTGGCTGAGGTTCTGGGACATAAGCCTAACTAGAGATTTATATGGTCTCAGGCCCAAAATGAAAATTAGAAGGCAAGCAATAGATTGAGGAAATATTTGCAATTTGTGACAAAGGTTAATTGCCTTAACACATTTTTCACCAGAGAAGTATCAATGCGGTTTTAGAGAGTAATATAATTAACATCATCATGTGAAGTTGTTAGAGATTAAAATTGATCAAGGATTCATTATACAACTTATGATTGCTGCTATCATTCACATTTTGCTCCATTAGGTTTTTGTTCCAACCTTGTATACATTATAAATGCAAGTTTATTACCATAAACTTTTCAAAAATGATGCATCACAAAATTTTGAGTGAAGAAGAATTTTTCGGTTAATTTTATGCAGATACTTTCTCTGATTGTCCAAGTTAAAAAAAAAAATACACACACATACTAGTGTCTCAGAAAATGTTAGTCCTTCAGAAGATAATTGATTCAGATGATGTAAATATTAGACCAACAAAAAAGACAAAAAAACCTTAGTGATTGATTCTGATATAGAAAGAGAAAATGAAGCACAGTGCTGGAGAAGACTTCACAGATGTATCAGGAATACCTGTTGGATACAATAACCTGCAGAGTATTAGTAAAATAACAGAAATAATTTT